GGGGTGAGGTAGGAAGGGTGGGGAGTAACGCCCAATCTAGGAGGCGGTGTTCAGTTGGTCTATACAAGATACGAAGGCTCTCGTTTTTGCGGTCCTACAACTCTTTATTCTGTGGCCATATATATATATAGATGTGGCATTACAACCAGGGAAGTTCCAGCTGTAACGCGGCGCCTGCGCCTGCGGTGCCTTCGAGGAGCATGGTCCACGCTACATTGCCGAGGCGGCGCATACCCCTCATGGTGAGGGAACAGGGAACGACCATTACGGAATATGGTCAATAGTGCATTTTCTCGGCATTTTTCCTGGCGGTTCGATTGTAAAAAGGAAATTAATTTTAAAAATCGCAAAGTTGTTTTGAAAATCGCAAAGTTGTCTGTGAGTTGGATACGCGTTTGCAGGAGAAAATTATCATCGGTATCTTGATCGGTGCAGCCATCATGGGGCCTTCCATGTGGTTCATGAACAAGAGCAAGAAAGCGAGGGAAGCCAACAGAGCAGCCCTGTCGTGGGGCTCTGAAGCATAGACATGTTTTTAACTCTGCGTTATATTAAACTGAATGATTATCCAATATAGATTCATGTTATGAATCATGAGTATGGTCCCGTTCATCCTACACAGTAATTTTCAGCATGTTAACCAAGGCCTGTTATAGACGCTCATTGATTGAAAAATATCGGTGCTCATGGGTGCATTTTTGGAGCTCATTGCTGACGGCTAACTGCGTTCTGCGTTTGATGCAATGATCGCATTACGTCCGAAAAGACCGCCATCATCATACTTCCTCCCCTACCACTGTTGCCAACAATGATGTACCAACCGACAAAATGGAGGTGAAAAGGCAGCTTTTATCAATGATCGTTCAATATGAAAATAAAAGACCATTGTGATTTGAAGTTTCATAGAAATTTTGATTCAAAAGTACATGTCATCGGTTCATATTGCTAATTTTTTTGCCATTCTTTTGAGTCGGACTGTGTCGACTGCACTGGGGCACATTGTTTACCTGCGTCTGCGTCGTCTGCAATGACAGTCCGACGCTTCGCAGCAGACATCGACATCGACAGCCACTTACATTTACGATTTTGTAATTAACGAAAAAAAAAAGATGGGCGGAGTACAAACCTGTGTACCGTTTCGTCGGGTGCCTCTTCAGTGCTAATCAAATTATTTACCATGCTTGGATTTCCACTACTCTGCCGACTTTGCGGCTTAACAACCGATAATGGCCTGTACATTTACTGTGATGAGGGGAAGAGGCGGCAGGTGGAGACCAAGATCCGACTGTATTTACACTTTCAGGTAAATTAATTTGAATTTGGTTTGAAACTCACAATCCCTCTCCTCCTCCACATAAAAAAATAAAAATAAAACTTGTAATTGCACTGGTGGTACGCAAGATTTCACTGCTTCATTCTGTTATGATCAATCTTCGTTAGTGTCACTTTTCAGATTAGATTGTTTTAGCTTCCCTTTCTCTTGTCTTGAAATTTTAAATGAATCTTTTAGTTTAGTAAATTGTTTGGGCCACTGTTGAAATTATTTGTGTTCAGGTGCTACCAAGCGACAGCCTGCCAAAGAAAATTTGTGCGTCCTGCTTTGAAGAACTGGAAGGAATGCACAGGTGTGTGTCCCACTGTTCGTTAGTACTTATGAAATCTAAGTTAGAATTTATGTCCTTTTCAAATTCACATTTTAATTTTCGTTTCAGGTTTGCTATTAATGCCCTGAAAGTGCAAGATAATCTATCAAAAATAGCAAAGGAATTGCCCTTAACTGCCACAGATATTTGTAAATCATTCATGAAAAACTATGTGGCTGAACCAGTGATTATTAATGATACTGTGGCATCCTTAACAAATCAAGAAGTTACTGAAATGGAGGTTCAGGTTGATCCTATGTTTTTTTTAGAGGATGATCAAATTGATGAAAATGACCCTGTATCAGAGTAAGCTATTGCCAAGACTGAAGACTAGTGAACACGTTGAGTGCGTTGAGAGCCACAGCATGGGTCACCCAACACATTATGTCCCACAGGGCGACGTGACCCTCACTGTGGGCCCCAATGTATGGCATTTCCGAAAGCCTTCAGCTCCTGGGACATCCTTTTTTTCTTTGGCGCCGCACTCAACGTGTAAAAATTATTCAAAGAAGCTTTAAGTTTGATTTTAACAATGTATTATTATTTTTCCAGTTGTGGTGCTAACAATAATTTTGTGCAGAATGGAGAAGAAGCCAATGTCAGAAAAGGGATTGATGGCACAACCCCGTCATTTTGCCTTGAGACCCACTCTGAAAGTGAGCTCAATGGAGAAAAGTAAGAATTATTAGCTAGATTAGTAATAACTAACTGATCAAAAAAAAAAATCACTAAGTTGATTTGGAATGTATTTTTTTTTCCAGACAAATGTTGACACAGTCTTCTGTTAATAATGATATAGATATTTCACAGAAGCCTAACGCAAATGAAGTACCAGAAGTAGGACCTCCAGTTTTACTTGAGACGCAAGTCAAGTTATGTCCTGAAACCAAAGCGGAAGATGGATTTGACTCTGGAGAGTTAAGTAAAGGGGATACAGAGGTGGCTAGGGAAGTAACCAAAGCAGTTTCTCTCACCCTGAAAAGAGTGAAAAAAGTGAGCAATGCAAACAAGAACTCAAAGAGAAGTGATTTGAAATCATTACCATCAGAGAACATTAAATGCATTACCTATACCTGCCCTATATGCAAGAAGGTCCTTATGAAGAAAGGTTTATTTAAAACCCACTTAGAAACACACAAAACTGATCACAAATATGCCTGTGAAATATGCCTCAGGGTGTGAGTAATTATTTTAAACCTCTATAACTGAAACTTTCAATTAGTTCCCTCCAGGAGATGATTACATTTTAATTTGTTCCAGGTTTAAGAAGGAAATTAATTTAATTCGACATCAAAAATCTCATTCAGAGCTTACTACATTTCCCTGTGCTCATTGTAACCGTGTGTATCCAACAAAGAGCACCCTACGCTCTCATCTTGTTTCTCATTCTGATGAGCGTCCACATGTTTGCAACATTTGCACAAAATCATTTAAACGTAATCAAGATTTGAAGGTAAATTATATAAGTGAATATTTTTGTGACAAGTGTGGGTGTAATAGATTTTAAAATTACTTATGATTTCTTCTTACAGTTCCATTTAAATCAACACAATGGCCTGCGACCATATCGCTGTCCGTACTGTACGAAAGCTTTTGCCAGCTCAGGGAATTGCTTTTCTCATCGAAGAAGAGCTCACATGCAAGAGATTGAAAGAGATCGGGCTCTCAGAAAGAATGCTCCCGCAGCTAGTTGAGTGAGGTTTCAAGTTCTCCTTTGTGTCACTTTCCAACTTAAAGCAACTTTTTTCTTTTAGTCAAAGTATTAAATTGATTGTTACTTATCCTGGGAAATCTGGTTTCCAGTATCCATCAGTATTATTTATTCTAGTCTATAGAATTGAAGTCAGCCACCTTCCCAGGATGTTTATAAGAGGCGTCATGGTCATATCAGACATTTTGCATATTTGCGGGTAAATTGTATTGCAAATTGTATACCCATCAAGCATCTTATTAAGGGCCTTTGGAGATGTGCTCATGAAAACATGAACTTTGTGCCCTTTGCCTGGGTACGCACCTGATTAATGTGAAATCAAAATGGTATTATTGTTTTTCTACTAACAGTACCTTCATATGCCACGAAGTTTGGGACCGAGATTTAACCAGACCAGTCTGTCTTTTCTTTCTAATTTAAAATGATTTTGTAGTGTACTTTGTCTTGTTTTTAATGTTATGTAGATGCTTTACCTGGTCTGTGTGATTTATTTGTAGCTATAAAATATAGGCCCTCATGTACATCATAGCTAGTCAATCCATTTGGGACACATATTTCCAGGGTCCTATTACTGTTTTGTTTTGTTTTTATTTTTATTATATTATAATCTAATATTTATTGTGTCACCAGGTTTACAGTGACTTGTTAACACGTTCCCTGCGGCTCATTTTTGGTCCCTATGATTTAACATGGGAGCGTGACTACTTAGTGGTCATGCCGCAGGGAACGTGTTAAGATATTATTAACGTCTGTTTGATCCGTTCATGAAAAGCATATCCAGTGTTATGGATGTTATGAAGCTCATAGAAAAATAATTACAGTGTACTTCAATTTTTGATTCAGTAGGACCCATTAGATAATTGTTATGTGTAGACCCAGTTGTTCATAGACAGAGACTTTAGTCAGAAAGAAAATGGATATTTTATGACCTTCTAGACATTTGGTAGTTTTGTGTTGGTGGTCAAAAGTATTAGATCTAAATTTTATGTTGTTAACTGATTAAATATTATTCCAGCTTCTTGACCACTTTTCAATGTAATTTGATCTTGTAGCAGGTTAATTTTGTGTAACTTGTCTATTAAGTCATAATTTTTGAGTACCTAAAAAGTTTATCATGATGTATCTGAGAATTGGCAGATGGCATTGGCACAGTAAGTGTCGAAGAGTACAATTGACAGTGTGATTATATGTTCTGACAACAAATTTCAGAACTAGTATTGTGAATGTGATAATAGAGTACAAGCACATGTTTTTTTGTTCCTTTTTCGTATTATCAGTATATTATGTCTCAGTATAAGTTACACAGCTATAAGAACAAGTAGGAAATTTCCCTATAGCAGAGACCCTTGGACCTCATGTTTGACTGGTTAATTTGGATAGAATGTAATCCAATTGTGATATTTTTCAGGAAAGTAAAAATGCCTTCCCTCATTGTTTTTTGTTTATAAGCTCATTCATTATTGTGAAATGTTGCTCTTTTTAACATCATCATCTTTCAACTTGTTTCATTGTTTTGTTTTTAATGAAAGAAGTTGTTTTGATAAAACAACATACTTTCTCACTAATATACAACTTTTCTTTCTCTCCTGGTTTTCCCTGTAAAAACTTTTGCTATTTGCACAATTATCGTGTATTTAGTTTTGGCTTGTCTCTGCCATACCCTTTAGAGAGTGCCAACTAATTTGTGTGTATGTGTATTCTTCATTGAATTTAAGAGAAAATTTTGTGTGTCTTTTTAAGAGAATATTTCACAGCTCTCATATCAAAACATTTATGCATTTTGTAAGTGTCTTGAATGACAGCATGCAATATACAATAACTGTGGTGAAGCTAGAAGTCTCGTTTGTTTTTTCTATGCAATATTTTGCATCCGGAATGATTCTGGCACTGTGCCCACTGGCTCACTAAGGAGAGGAGAGGTAACAGTAACATTATAACACATTCATTAATTAGTTTTATTGGACTAAGACAACTTTGAAAGGTAAAAAAAAGACAAAATTGATCGGTTTGACTTTGACTCATTGCTGGGAACTTAAGATATTTGTCTTGTACACCATTACTTCTCTTTAGCAAGCTTTTACTTGACACCATACAAAAATACAAGTCATACTGCCGCATACAAAGATAAAAAAATAGTCTGCATATCACTATACCATGTATTGAACTTAAAACTAACAATCTACTTTAGGTACAAAATTAACGATGATAATCTGGTCTGGTGGTGCATTAGGTTTACACATCACATTGCAGTGTTCTGTCGAACACAACGTTTGCATGCCTCTGGCCACACTAGCCCTGCCAGAATTTTTCAATTTTATCACAATAAGTTTCCAGTACATACTTGAGTTGCCCCGGTCCCGCGGGGCTAGCTGATCCCGTAGGTGAGGTACTGCTGGAGCAGCTTGGGCAGCGGCAGGTGGGGGGCCAGTTCGGGCAGCCGGGCGCCTAGGAGCCGGCGCAGGTACAGGCGCACCTGCTGCGTCAGCGGCAGGGGGGAGGTGGCCAGCTGCATGAGGAGGCCGCGCTGCGTCTCCGTCAGGAACTGGGACCGCCGGATCATGCACGTGTCGAAGCTCTCGGCCGCGTCCAGAAGCGTGTAGAACACGTCCTCGTGCTGGGCCACGCTCTGCAGCGAGTTGAGCAGGCCGTGCGGGTCCCGGAACTGCGTCTTCATCACAACCTGGGGAGGGGGAAAG